TAACTCGATTTCTATAATAATGGTTTCCGATTATGAATCAGGATAATAAAGTAAATTAAATTGACGCCTATAAATTAATTTTGTAAATTAAATTCACACCACCAACAATATTACGTTAGTTGAAAGCATGATTTTTTGTTTGTATAGATAATATGTTGTTTTGAAATTCATTTGATAGGTTTAGGTCTAAAACGGATAGGACAAAATAAATTATGTAAACAGGGCAATCCGTTGTAAAGTTATTAGGGAAACTGAAATATAAGTAATGCAAAATAAGTGAAATCCAGTTTCACCAGTTTCTAATAAGACCTATTAGGCCAACACACGTAGCTTTTCACGAAGTTTCGTTTGATTTATATATTGTTCATAAAACGTTGATATACTTCGTAACTTAGATATTTATAGCACATCAATATTTTTTAATATTTATCTGCGTGTAAATAATTAACCGAATCTTCGTAAAAAAGTGCCTGAATAGTTCATTATTTCATCTGTTCAGTATCAATTCATCTTTTATTTTCAGGAGGCACAGCACTATTTTTTGCAAAAGTGCACAATATGATTTACATTGCTGTCTAGAAACGGGGTTAGAAACATTAATGTTGGTTTGAGCAAACAATGTATATTTTATTTGAAATTGTGTCAAATTATTACGTTTTTTATATTTTAGCACTAAAATTGTACTTACCAGTGAAAGGAAATGTTTGCATTAGTTAGATTGTATACTTTGTTTTGCTTTTTGCAAGTGATAATAGCACAAAACGGTATTATTTATAGAAAAAATCAGTAAAATCACCACTCGACGATTGACGAACGACTGACAAATATAAAACCGAGGAAAGGGCGTCATATGAGTAAAAGCGCATATGCCAGCGACGCGTGCCCCGCCCACTTACTACTTCTATTCTCTCTCTATGTTCTGTGATTTTAATTGATGATGTAGATGATGCTTCCGACCATAATTAAATTATAAAAGAAACTGTATTAAATTGTTTTATATAATGATTTTTAGAAATAAAGTTCTTTTTCTAAAGTATTTATTGTTTTATTTGATATCCACAGGAGAATCACTTATTTTAAACATAAGCTGTCTAACCAGCTATCTATGCTAGTTATTTATCCCCATGCCTGTTGATCAAGCTCCTCGAGCGTTCTGTTAATAAATTGACAATTATAGTATAGACTCAATCATCATCAGCATCATCTTAGCCTTATTTCCAACTTTTATACATTGGGATCGAATTTTTAGTATAATCAGACACGGATGAACATCTGTTTTTAAAATGACTAATGTTCGAGGGCTAGACCAATTGGCAGTTTAATTGAAGTTTCTGACTCCCTGAATGGGTATTAAAGACAAAAGTTCAGGCACGACATTTCGTACCTCTTCGAGAACAGATAGTCTGGTGATATATAACTCGAGACTACATGCGTGGCAGTCCACCGGTCTTTACTGTTGCTGCACATATAATATAGATTAAATATAATTATATAAATCCGATGCATTTAATTAGTTATGAACCAACAGATAGATTATAAAGCTCCCCCTTGTATGTTGATTAATGTTCTAGAGATATCTGTCAAAAATATAACCTCAAAATTGAAAAGATTTTTGTATTATTTACGATTCTCTGAAGTGTCTGTTAATTATACTGAGTTTGAGTCGAATGTATACGTTATTTAGAACATTAAAAATATTTTTTCGTAAGTAACGGCCTTCGGGCGAACAATGTATGGACGAGGAACAATGTCCTTTGTTGAATGACGAGAAATCTCGAGAGTGAGGTTTGAAGAGGAACACAACGTACTTTGTGATGAAGAGGAGCGAAAAGAGAGGGATTGTTTAAGATATGGTTTAAGCATTATTAGATATGCCAAGAAAAATTTGTGAATTACTTTCATTTTAGACCTCTAACAATTTTTTCCGTTATTAAAAAAGTGAGTAGTTACATCCAGAGCAGTGAAGTGAACTAGATCAATTCCGCGGCGTATCGCAATTTTTCACATCTCTAATCGACAGTGTTATGTAGATATAAAACTTTTTTGACGATTCGACGTTTTGTCCTATATATTCGCGCACCTTCATACATTTTGTATTTCGTTAGACAGTTTTGTCGATAATGTGCGCAGGCACTATCTCTTATTTCTTTGAAATTATACATATACCTATATATCTGTTATAATAAATAAAGTAATAACAATAATTGCCTCATTTTTTTTAACATTAAATATGCGGCATCTTAAAAAAATTAGAAACTATAGTCAAGTAAAAATTAATAAACGGCTTGCCGAGCATTTCACTCTGTGCAGGAAAATTTAGATTATCGAAACTGAATGTTAACTTAAAATTATAAATTTATGTTGATTTATATAAATTTGATCAATGTGTGTTTTTTCTTTATAATATGAACAAGTAAATTATGTAAATTAACAAATATATTAATGACTGAATAGTTAAATCTATGCTCCAAACTGAATGAGAAAGTATTTAAAAAAAAACATTAGTTCCCGAAATCAAACTAGATGTCGCTACGGTACTTTCTTGATTTCTCCATGACAACTAGTGGAGATGCTTTTTTGGTGCTTTCTTTTTTTAAATACTTCCTCATAGACAATGTTCGTATTTATTAACATAATATAAATAAAATAACAAATAAACATCTATAAATAATACATATTGGCTCTCTCCTTCGATCAACAATACAAATTGTCTCCCATAAATTCTACGTTAAATGAGGGATGGTCTCTAACTTAAATAAAAACTAAAAAGAAAGAAACCAGCCCAGTAGTTTAGAATTCTGTTAAGTAATACTTAATAACTACACAATTGAAATAGTTTTGTAATCGATACACACATAAAACAAATCATAAATTCTAATGCAGAACAGAACGATACATAGTCGGGGCCCTTTGGGAAGATTTAATTGGTAAAATTTGAATGGGCCCCGACTACGAGTCGTTCTGTTTATTTATTTTTTCATGTATTTTTTAAAATTCGTTTTTACGCAGTCGGGTTTTTTTCTTTAAATTATTATTTTTATTTTATACTTTTTAGTTATGATTCGTTGACCTCGTTATAAGATGGTAAATTTTGCAATCTAGTCATTTCATTGAGCATATAAACAGCCTGTGGCAATTCTCCGGGTTCCAATTGGTCCCTCCGAAGAGCTGGCCACTCAATTGCCCTTATAACAACCATTGCTCCGTTAATAAGACCATGGGTAACATTTAAAATATATGTTCCTCATGCTTTTTCACTGTTTTTGTTTGTATATCGTTTATACTTTATATAAAAACTTAAATCAATAAGAAAAAGTTAGCGAGAATGATTGTTTTGTTAAACAACTTTAAATCGTTATATATTCTTAACTATTATTTAAAATGAAAAATAATGAAAGGAAACTATAGATGATTTTAAAATACTTATTCAACGACACCCCCCTTGACATATTTCATCGATTCTCTAGAATGCCACATAGAAATAAACATACATTTTAGGCCGGCAGCGCGCTTGTAGCTCCTCTGGTGTTGCAGGTGTCCATAGGCGGCGGTAATCACTCATCATCAGGTGATACGTCTTATAAAAGTTTTGAAATCTTATCAGTTTTATCATTTTAGTTCTACCCCGAACAAACGAATCATATTCAAGGACCATCGTCATAATTGGCAGATCTCCGTCATGAATGTTAACTTAACCTACATGATAATAGGTTATCGCTACTTATTTTATAATCTCTCGCTATCTAAACAAATAAGTAGGCCTGATTCACATAAGTAAAATTAGGGAGAAATAAACGAAAAAATATAAAAGAGTATTATGAAACCAGATATTGTAAATCATAAAAAAAAAATGTATGCATGCGGGACGCATAAATATCGCCGCGAAAATGTCTCCACAGTTGGATACGACTAAATTCAAAATGAAAGTTGATATAAGAATCAATGGGATTTATTTTTAAATAAAGTTTTATGTATTAATATAATTTTTATATTTATATAAAAATATTATTAACTATACGTATGAAATCTCATAGTATGTACTGATAGTAAAATATTCATTTTGACAATCGTAAGCATGTATTTTAAAAATACTAAAAATCATAAATTACATTTTGATAAACGAAATTAATATTATGATAAGGTATCCGAAACGATTGACGTTCCAAAACCAAATACAAACGCGATGAAACCGTTTAAAAGTTGTTTCATTTATGTATAGTGCAAGTGAAAATATAAGAAATCAATATTAACAATTTGATTTTTAAAATTAGGACCACTTACATAAATGTATCTGCATAAAAAAATAATTTAAAGAAAAACAAAAAACCCGACTGCGTAAAAACGAATTTTAAAAAATACATGAAAAATTTACTTAAATAAAAACTAAAAAGAAAGAAAGAAAGAATTTGGCGGGGACTTGGCGATGAATAAAAGTTTTTTTTTTACCAAATATATTTGTTCTTCATGCTTTTTCACTGTTTTTTTTTTTTGTTTTTATATCGTTTATACTTTAAATAAAAACTTAAATCAATAAGTAAGAAAATTAGCGAGAATGATTGTTTTGTTAAACAACTTTAAATCGTTATATATCATGAACTATTATTTAAAATGAAAAATGATAAAAGGAACCTAAAGATGATTTTAAAATACCTATTCAACGACACCCCACTTGACATAGTTCATCGACCTTTTTTTTCATTTTGACAATATGGCGTCTGGTTGTCGCTGTGGTGAATATTGATTACTGTCATGTCTTTAGTGACACTCGCAAGGTTAAGACGAATCGATTGACGTAAAAATCATCAAAATTGGCCTACGCGTTTGGTCTTTAGAACGCCACATAGAAACAAACATACATACATAGACTGATAAACACATAACCCTTCTTTGCGTCGCGCAGTCGGGTAAAAAATACAAAATGTACTGAATAGTTTAGTTTGATATAATTTAGTCAATTTTGGAGCACGTTTATTTTTTGTATTTAAAAAAATATTATTTTCTTTTAATAACTCATAATTATATACACGGTACATTCTCATACAGTTCATTAAAACATTCATTAGTATAATTACATACAGTTATTCAATGTGGCCGTACTCTTGTAAATATTAAACAGTATAAATATATACAGTGTCAACAGTCACTTTATATTTAAAATTCAATAATACCAATGTTAGTGTAATTCTAAATTTTAAGCGGAGCACTATTTGTTCGTGTTTATAATGAGTAATAGAGGTCAGTATAAAATTCCGTGTTGTGCTTGCTTATAACATTCATAGTCTAGTCTGCCGATTGATGCCCCAAAATGAAGAATATCGTGCTCTTCTCTACTTAGTAAGGCACGTTGATTCATAGATTCCAGCTACATTCCATCATACCCAGTATGATGGCAGGTGTAGGGGCTTATACTCTTTATTTATTCCTATCCTTAAGAGACCTTGTATCCCGACTGGGTCCCATACGGGAATTAGTCAGCTGATGATTATAAATATTATATAAACTATCATTCGATGCAATTTAATTGTGTATGATTATTTTTCAGTAATTGGAAACAAACTCAAAGTATTTTTGAGATACAATGAAATGCGTAATATTTCAATTCAACCGAAATACGAGTTTCTACCCAAAAAATATACGGTGAGAGATTTATTAATAATGAATAAAAGTTATTTTCTTTTACCAAAAATATTTGAACTTCATGCTTTTTCACTGTTTTTTTTTTGTTTGTATATCGTTTATACTTTAAATAAAAACTTAAATCAATAAGTAAAAAAATTAGTAAAAAGTTAATCATAACGGAATGCGAACCCTTACTGTAAATTTCCTCCAATCGATTTTAACCCTAAATGTGGTAAATATTGAGACCAAAATAACATTGATTGTTCGATATTGTATGGTGGTGGTGTGAACTAATAAAACAACATAAATTATATTTTATTCAAGTGTTTCCATTGTAATTAGACAGTGAAAAGGAAGAAAGCCCCACCAACGTATGTATTTATATTTAGCGTGAGCCTTCATTTTCAGGGTCCCAGCATGGAGCAAACTAATGAGATAAAGTCTAACTTTTTCCCTCCATCAGTCTACAATATTTATAAAACTCCCCTGCTATTACACCAAGGACATATGCAGTATTTATATGATTATGAAGGCAGGAAGTATTTGGATTTATTCGGGGGTATTGTTACAGTTTCCGTGGGACACTGTCATCCGTAAGTATTTAAATAAATCATACATACTGTATATAAATAATTCAAAATTAATCACGCTAAATGTGTCGAAAAGGTCCCTATGTTAAATAAATTAGAAAATAATATACATATATATTTGAGTAAACTATTTATTTTGAGTAAATTAGTTAGGTATAAAAGTCAAGTACAGCAACAATTTCATAAGGTAATCTTGATTACAGTTCATCAGATGATTAGAGCGTAACGTGTAGGTATTATTATTGTTAGTGTAGGTTAAAATCTTGCAAGCTAAATTTAAACCACGTCCAAGTTTTCGACTGAGCTGAAATTTTGAATATATAACTAAGGTGACTTTGCAATAACACTATCTGATGATTGGAACAGGGTAGCCATGAGAACCTAGTATTTAAATAACGCAACCCTGACGAATTTTGCATCGTTTGATTTGTATAAAAGCTTGTTTATAAAAAGAAAATTTCAATTTTGAATTTTATGATTTCAGGAAAGTTGTTTCTGCTCTCCAGAAACAAATTCACACACTATGGCACACTACGAATATTTATCGACACCCGAAAATATATGAATATATCCAAAAATTAGTAGCGAAGTTACCCGGGGAATTGAAGGTGAAATATTAGACCTATACTAACTTTTAATCAGGTCTTATTTGTTAAATGAGTTGACTCGATTTGTATTTTATGTATAGATGAGTATATAGATACAACATATGGTTTTAGGTGGTCTATCTAGTGAACAGTGGTAGTGAAGCAAATGACCTGGCGACAATATTAGCCAAAGCGTATACCGGAAATCATGACATAATATCATTGCAAAACGGTTATCACGGGTATTCTAGTGCTCTAATGGGTCTCACCGCGACCCAAAGTTACCGCATGCCATTGCCAGTGCCACCTGGTTTTTATCATGTAAGTAAACCACAACTTGTGCATACATTATAATAACAGAGTAGACCCCAGGTTCATATTATAATTATGTTTTAGGCTATGCTTCCTGATCCATTTAGAGGAATATGGGGAGGATGCAGAGACTCTCTTTCGCAAGTACCTGGATCATGCAATTGTCCAGACGAGTGTGTTTCGACTGAAAAATATATTAACCAACTAAAAGAGGTAAACACTTCAAAATTTATTATTATTTGAGATTTGAGGCAAGGTAACTATAACATATGATAACTTTACGATATCAGTCTGCAGCGATTATAACCAGACAGAAGCTATGTTCTCATATAAAAAAATATTCCATAAAAACAAAAAGACTGTCCATGACTTTTAATATTATAACTCTCACTATTTTCTGCAGCTTTTAGAGAACTCAGTACCAGCTGGTAGAATTGCCGGTTTGTTTGCGGAGTCGATACAAGGAGTGAATGGAGCTGTACAATTTCCAAAAGGTTATCTTAAAAAAGCCCACGAATTGGTAAAAAAATATGGCGGAGTTTACATAGCCGATGAGGTAATACATGACATGATAAAATATAAGAGTAATTCCCGTTTTTCCTTTGAATCTTGGAATACTCTAAGAGGTTAATCAATATAAAATAACAGTGAATATGAAATAAAGGTAGTAAATCCCATATATTAGCAAGATTTAATAACTTTTAGGTTCAATCTGGTTTTGGTCGGACAGGCGACGCATTTTGGGGTTTCGAAACCCATGGTGTCACCCCGGACATAGTAACAATGGCTAAAGGTATCGGTAATGGCTTCCCGATGGCAGCAGTAGTTACTACAAAAAAAATAGCTGCTGCACATACCCAGGCAATGTATTTCAATACTTTTGGAGGAAACGCATTATCTGCTGCTGTAGGCGAATCTGTTTTAGATGTAAGTGCACGTAATTAGTTAATTCATGTTATACATAACGTCCTATATCCCAGATTATAGGTCGAGGTTTTAGATAATAATATCAGAAGCTAACGTAATCATTAAACGTAAATAAACGTAAAAGTAATGTGAATTGGTTAATCCTATTATTTAACAAAATATTTACCGCTTTTTAAATTAGTAAATTCAAAAAGTCTCAAAGACTGAAAATCTTTAAAGGATATCCAAGTCACATATTTATAATTGCAAAGAAATTTAATAATCAAGCACTAAAATATTATGATCGCATTAACAGCACGCTCAAAGCTAGGTAAAATTAAAAGATGAATAAAATAAACTCAATAATATATTCCATTTCATATTAACGATACAGCGTTAACTATCTAAAACTTTTTCTTCAATTTAGGTCATAGAAGAGGAGAAACTCCAAGAGAACTGCAAAACCCTTGGTGCATATTTTATAGAGCAATTGATGCAACTGCAAAAAGAACATCCAATTATAGGAGATGTGAGGGGCAAGGGGCTTATGTTAGGCCTCGAATTAGTGATACCGTTTACTAAACAACCACTCCCGTTGAATGATATCGCAACGATATTCGAAAGTATCAAAGATCACGGCATTCTCATCGGCATTGGTGGACGTTATAATAATGTAAGTTCATATCATTGTATAATAGAATAATTTTAAATGAAAACAACTTTATCCACCGACGCGACAGTACCCTAGAGCTTATCCCAAGCTTTTTTGGTCCACGAATCCTTAGGTCGTCCAAAAGATCAAGGGACCCCATATAAAAAAATTAAGAACCAATTTATTAGTATTACAAAAATATGTCCTAAATTATTAGAAGATTTGTTTTTTTTATATTAAGACAATGTTAATTTGATAAGCCGATTTTTGCACCTATACTTGTAATATTTAAGTTATTAATAAAATATTACTTATTTTGATTACACTAACAGCCAGTTGCACAAACGTCCATTAATTTTCATATTGACATTCATTAGATCATACAAATTTGACATTCATTAGATCTTAAAGGCGTCATTTAACATTAATGGACGCTTGTGTGACGGTCCGTAAATTAGTTACTGTCTCGAATCAACAATGTGGTCTAACTCGTTCTAACTTAGATTCATCAATATAATCGGTCTATTAATGTCCACTGGTGGGACACAATAGGTCACCTGTACCAGTGACCTGTACAGAAGGAACGGAATCGAATAGGGGAAACAGGGCTATTAGCAACAATGCAGGCCTAATGCTGATTAGTAGATAGGTAGGTTAATAACTTCAGATTCAGCTGGGGCCAACCGCATAGCACTGTCAATGTGCCTCTGAAGCACGGAGGAACTCGAGATAATAAATTTTTGTCCACCTATCCAATGTCCAGCTCTTGCGAAAATTACTTAACTTCCTCATCACAGACCGAATGCGTATATGCCTTCGAGCTACTATCTCCAAAAACCATTTAAATAGTAATACATATATTTATAATCTATTTTTGTTTCAGGTTTTGAGGATAAAACCTCCAATGTGTATCAATAAAGACGACGTTGATTTTTCAGTTTCAATTTTGGATAAAGTAATCAAAAACTTTAATAAAAATAAGGAATAAACATTAAGTACTTCATTCTTTCCCTTTGTTTCTATTTGTAACCAAAGATGATTTACACATCGTAAACTAAACCTTTTGTAGAACACCAATGTTTCGATATTTGATAATGTGTCGTATATAATAGAAGGTTTAGACAGATCTAGAATAACCTTGGTTTAAATAAAAATCACATATCTAAGTTATAAAAAAATAAGTGGTATAATCAGCCGACCAATAGGGATGACGACTAATCTTTGTTTGTTTGTCCGTCTGGTAGATTTTTGAAAAATATTAAACACGTGTGTTTTTTCATAATCATTAAATTAAGGCGGTACATTGAGCTAAATTAATTTGTTTACTTCGTAAATAAATAGTTGATAAATAGGTTATGTCGCCTTGACATATTTACCGACGTGTGACATATACGTTTTTTGCGCGATTTTGGCTATTTGAACTTTAACAATTATTTTCATCGAAAATAGAACAGATTTCCGTGAAATATATTTACAGTGTTCACTTTTATACTATCGCGCTGTATATTTAAATACTTATAATACCGGGTATTAGACGCAATTTACATTTCATCACCCCCGTCACCTGCAATCTGTAGCAAATTCGTTGAAGAACAAACCATACGACCTATCTGACCCTGAGCATTTAGAGCAGAAGTTCCAGCATGTTCAGGAGGTTCTACATAGAAACGGATACCCAGGTGATAGGACACAAAAGCATTCAGTGAAGAGGTACATGCATCCTCTGGTGAGTAGACAGCCAGCCTATATGCTTTATGACAAAGGATTGTCGGAAGATCGATCACGTATTACGTGAGTACTCCATCCCGACAGTTTATACTACAGGTATATGAGTGAAAGACATCGTAGGCACTCCCCAGGATGTTCTGCCTTTGTCAACGCCAGGGGTTTACAAAATCGACTGCAGTTGTAGTGCTTCCTATATAGGTCAATCCAAGAGCTCCATCGAGGAAAGGGTTAAAGATCACATAAAACCGTCAGTCGAGTAAGTCTGCCATTGCGGAATACCTACTGGAAAGGGGCACAAATCACTTGATCAAGTTTTTCTATACGCAAGTCTTTTCCACGGATCGCCACTTTTATTCAAGAGTAGTGCGTGATGCGATTGAAATTAGGAAACACCTTTATAATGAGGAAGTATTAAAAAAAATAAACGAAATCACTCAAAAAACACCTCTACTAGATGGCTACTCTAGCAATAGTTGATTTATGCAGGAATCAAATGGATCAAAGAGTCATTTCCGTTCCTTTTAACTAACATAATAAAAAGATTGAAATTTGAAAAGTTCGAAACTTAGTTATCAATACAAACACTTTTTAGTACAAATAGAATATGAGTTGTTTATTGCGATTTGAAAACTAAATTACTCTTAAATTTATAAGAAAACCGAAAAGGTTGTCATTTAAAAATCAAGAACGTACCGCAGCGATATCTAGTTTGATTTCGGGAACTATTGTTTTTCTAAATACTTCCTCAATACTGGAATTTTCTCTATGGCAATCAGTGTTTGTGCCAAAGACAACAGTGTATATGGTTTGTGTGTGTGTATGTGAAACTTATTTAGATTTTTTTAAAGAGAGGTTAAGCTCTATACGTGTAAAAACCATAAACGTGAATTGGCGGAATTGTGTAAACGCCATGAATTAAAAAAAAAAAGAAGAAGAAGAGATGTTGAGTGTTGTTCGTTCCACGGCCCGTCAACTCCGTACAAGAAACCAATCGCGTAAGGGTCCAGTGATGTATGACATTTCCACACGCCCCTCACCCCTGTCAGTAAATCATAGAGTAAGGTAGAGTGGAAATATTTTCTATGGTTATATAAATATCATGCAATCTGAAGTTGACATCAAAAACATCATGTTGTCTTTTTTTAACTAATAAGAAGTTTCTTTAGTAAACAAAGATAACACTAGTGTGACAGTTCAAAATTTTTGACGTGACGTCATGAGATATAGCTATCGTACCACCTGTCAGCCATTTGCAAATTTGCTTTGCGTATTCTCGGAAGTAGTTCAGCTGTCAGTGTTATAAGTTTTGTGGTTATTTTCAGTTATAACTTTAATTTATATAACTTTTATGGCAGAAAATTGTAAATTATTTATGCAAAACAATGCCTAGGTGCTGTATAATTGGTTGTGCGTCATCAATATCCCGCAAACCGAGCAATATTACGTTGCACCGGTAAGTTAAACACTTTCTTGGAATAACAGTATTTAAAATGTAAGTAAGTTATTCTGAAAATGATTGCGTGTATAAATCGATACATATCGTATTTTGGCGTGTTCTATTTATGCTATATTGCTCTTTTCGTTTATATTTTTATTATATATTTCGGTCCGTAAATAATATTGTTTACATAGCTAGTGTCGTTACTTTAACATATGGTTTATATCGATAATTTTAATATTTAAAAATATATTAATTATTTTAGTTTACCAAAAGATGAAACAAAAGAGGAAAATGGCCGAGTTACATAAAAGCAGAAAAAATTAAATGTAATGAAAAAGTTACTTTTATCTGCTCACTTCATTTTAGGGAAAGTTGTTTGAATCGAACTTTAAATATAATAAAATTACGAGATGATGCATTGCCAATCAAATACTCTGGTAAGAATTTTTGACAATTGCTTTTAACTTCTTTAAAAAAAATGTCTATTACACTTAGTTAATTTTCATTTGATTTTACTGATTTATTTATTTAGTTTTTTATATAGTCATTTTGTTATTCTATAAATGTACCTTATTTTTAGTCTTGACGACTATTTTAATTGAAAAAAATCAGAATGCAATATATAATAATATTAAAACAATAAATTCTGATCATAATATACTCCCAGTAAAATATACAATAAAATGAGTTAAATAATTTTAATAAAAATTAAAATATGCACACTTATCAAATTAAAGGCATAGTTAAAGGTTTTCTTTGCTGTTCAATAGTATAATCTTAATACCCAAATAATTATTTTGCAACGTGGATGTTTATTTTGCTGATGCATCATAAAATACGCTACCTTTTTGTATTTAAATTGCTGGCCGTTATCATGATTGTTCACAGAACATGAATTGCAGACTGTTTTAGTGCTGAGAAAATATTTGTATGCTTGCCCATTGATTAATCGGCTGTTTTCTTCTTCGGCTTCGGCTAACCAAATTTTTAAATAAAATGCCAATTGTTACTTCTTTAATCAACTTTGTTTTCTTTATTTTCTCTTGTTTATTCTTCAAAGTTTAAAGTATTTTTATGTTCTTTTACCAATAATATAATACAAAGATTATGTAGGTGTCTCAAGTTTTCTATGTTTACTACTAAACAAGATGTTCTGAACTTAAAATTGTGACACAGTACGCACGGTATCTCACTTAATGAGGAGTAAGCGAAATTTATTCAGTCAAAACAATTTATTGAATAAATTTATAGACAAGTTGGCTTACTAGTAACAAGCATATAAGAAAGTCGAAACTCTGTGCTTATAGTTCAGCAATCTATTACGGGAAACCTTGTACCGAGAAAAGAAGAAACTGTAAGAAAGGAACCGGTAAGAAACTGCAAGGGCTGCTTTTGCACCCTGTTTAATTTCGTACTGAAAAATAAAAAATGACTTCATTGGACCAAAATATCACTTTCCACCTAAACAATAAAAAATATATAACAGACAAAAAAAACATAATAATTCATTCGTCAATCGACTCATTAAAAGCTTATTATAGTTACCGTGGTAGTTATCTTGGACAGTAGTCACACTTCCCGTGGATGCAAAATTAAACTTATATTAAAAAAACTATTTAATTATAATTGCAAAATGTCAACTTGACAATATATATATGGAAATAAATATAAAACACGATTGATATTATTGTAAAACTTTTAAGATATATATTTTGGTACTATAGTTCTTAAAACTATGTAAAATTGGCTATTTTAGAGGAAAAAGAAATATATTTATCGAGGTACAATCATATTATAAAATTATATTATTAAATAATATAAATGTGAAAGTTTGTGAGGATGGATGTTGGATACTGTCATGTAAAAACTACTGAACGGATTTTGATGAAATTTGGAATACGAATAATCTTTTACCCATCATACGCTGGTAACCTAGGTTATATTTACTATACTGACGCAACGGAGTCGCAAGAACAAAGAACGCAAGAAATTTTAGATGTCCAACAAGATACGAGATTGCTTAATGATTTATAAATAATTGATAAATTCACGCCACTTAAAAAAAAAATATTATTTTCTTGATACTGGCGTGAATTTTTCAATTTAATTAATAATAATCATAAATAGGTTTGGTACGTAAGTGTGAAATGAATAGAAGTGTAATAGGTAATAGTTTAGCCATGCCCTTAACAATGAAAATTATATTATATTATTTAATAAGTAGTAGTATTGTAGCAGTTTTACGAAATACGCTTTTTACGTAGGCATAGCCGGTCCTCTTCTTTTATGTCTATGCAGTGGAAAGCGCGGGAAACGTTGAAATTGTTAGGCGTGTTTTTTTTTAGTGGCGTAAAATAATTAAAATTAATTATTAAGTTAGTCCATTAGAAGGGTATTTTTGTGTATTTACATATATATATTTGTGTATATATTAGAATTAGTGCTTAGCTGCAGATATTAGGTAAGTTTTTTTAATTATTTTTATGAGCGAGCCCCCCGACGACCCGGGGGGATTCGTCCCCCCGGCAGGTAGCTATGTTACGGTTTGTTCCGAGTCAGGGATGGATACGGATGCATCTACATCGAATAGATCTACTTTAAAAAGGAGCCGTCGCTCCAATGTATGCAAAACCTGTAACAAAAAAAGAAGGCGGCATCACGGTTCTGAACCGAAACCAACAGATTGTTCTTGCACTGAAATTTCATCTGGTAACAATAATACTTTTCTAGACCTTCCTCCACCACCCACATCTGTAATGCAGGATTCAATCATCCCTCCTTCAGTAGCTAATTCATCAACTCCTATCGGTAGGAAAGCTTATTGCGAGTCAGATGTTTCACCTTTTATATTACATGTACAAAAAATAGTATTATCAGCAGATGACAAGACATCAATACATCCAGTTAAGTTCGGCAATTTTTTAAAAAATAATAAATTCCCAAACATTATCAACGGCAGTGTTAAGAAAATTGGCAGGAATAAAATTTCAATTAGTTTTACTAATTTTAAAGATGCAAACTCTTTTCTTAATGATAAAGCTCTTCAAGTAAATAATTACCGAGCATATATACCAACTTTTAATGTCACCCGAATGGGGTTAGTAAGAGGTGTTCCAGCTGAATGGTCACCTGAAGAGGTCATGGCTAATATTTCAGTACCTGTAGGATGTGGGGCTATAATGAAAGTCAGACGCATGAACTTCAAAACTTTTATTGATGGGAGCCCAACATGGAAACCTTCACAAACTGTAATTATTACTTTTGATGGACAGATACTTCCTAAGAGAGTGTACTTGTGCTATAACGCTTTAAATGTTGACCTATATATATACCCTACGATACAGTGTTATCATTGCTGTCGGTTTGGTCACACAAAGGTACAATGTAGATCTAAGCCCCGTTGTTACAAATGTGGCAAGGAACACACTGGGGAATCTTGTGGTACAGTTGAAGAGGATGCCTGTTGCTGTTTGTGTTCTGGCTTTCATTATGCCACTAGTAAAGTATGTCCAGAATTTATGAGACAAAAACAAATTAAAACTTTCATGGCTCAAAACTGTGTGTCTTATGCCGAGGCTTCCAAAGCTCACCCTCCAGCAGCTAAATCATATGCAGACATAGTAGCTTCTAAGCCTATTCCTCAATCGCCTTTGTATAATAATATTCACACATCTCAAAATAGTAGATCTTCCACTACATCCTATAAGAAAACAGTGTTCTTAAACCCTCGTAATATAAATAATTCTCATACCAATATGGGTTACAATAAAGAAGCACATAATGCTATCATAAATGACTTTAGAATCCCTACACCTGCTAATGGATGTGCTATACAAAAGCCTTCTCAAGATCAAGACAATCAATCTCATATTGAGTTAATAACAGCTTTATTTAATGTATTAGCTAAATATAACTTTATTTCACCGTCCAACGTTGCCTCTTTGTTTGAAAATTTAATGTTAACAATTAATAATGGATCTACGC